GCTACGCTCTGCCCCCCAGGAGGTGTTTGCCAGCCAGGACTTTTAAAAGATTAAAGCACTTTGAAACACTTCTTCCTCAGGTACATTACATGTGGCATGAATGTTAATTTTGAATCAAACATTACTCCCAGAAACTTCACTTCCCGTACTACTGGAATTAATGATCCTTCAAGATGAAGCTCAGGCTCAGGATGAAGATGTCTCTTTCTGCAAAAGTGCATGCAGTCTTATCTTTTGAAAATTTGGTAAGGTGATAAAGGTTACTAGCTAGGACTTTAGCAATAATCTGAGAAGTACACAGTTCCAGTCACAGATTATTTTGTGGCGACTTTTATAATAGATAATTTAGAGGGAAAAGAAAATTAATGTAATTTCTTGCATATTTTATTTATTTTATATGTGCAAATGTTCATCCTTGGAAAGCTTATATGCAAGCTGAAGATATAAAAGCTTGCATAGTATACATACTTTTTAGCGATCAGGTAATTTCATACATGTCCTTTTTACCGACTTCAAAGATTCAAAAAATTTTCCTGCATTTTCGTGCAAATTTTTCTATTTTATGAGGAAAATTATTTACATGTTTCATATATAAATTTGGCTTGTAAAAACAAATTTCTGTGCATGTTTGTTCCACTACTTTCCGTAAACTTCCGATCATGATTTTACCTAATAAGCACTTAGAAACAATTTTGCACCTAATCTTCGTCATGATTAAGCACTTTTGTTCCATAAAAGTTCTAGCATAAACGTAATTCGGCTAGCAGATTGTTGAAAAAATGTTGAGTAAAAACAAAAACATGCCTTTACTTCATGAAAACAAAATGGCATAAAAAAAAAAAAAAAAAAAAAAAAAACTAGCAGGTTGCTGTACAAGGGTTGGTTGCCAAAAAATCGCCAAGTTACCATAATCCGAAGATTCACCTTATTTTTGAATCCTTTAAAATACTGGCGTCCGTGGGACAGGACTATGGATAATTTAAAACCGGAAAGAACACAATTACGGCGATATTTCACAACTTCTTTGAAAGACGTGGACACTGTTCTAAAAGATGAAACAGTAAGTAAGATTGATTTGATATCTGTATTTAATATATTTAATGATAAAGCTGACAGATTATTTCAGTTAGATGAAAAAGTTAAAGTAAAATGGCTAGAAATGGAAAATTTTAATGAAGATGAATTTTCTAATGATATGGATTTAACGGAAAGCTATAGAAATCAGTGGGTTGCTATGAAAACAAAAGTTGATTTAATGTTATCAACCACTGAAAGGGCGATATTTCCAGTGTAGTAAATGAAACCAAGCGAAATTTCCATCTTCCTAAGTTAGAAAGTTGAAACGTTTTGACATGATTAAAAACTATTTGTAATATTAAAAACTGGCTAGGATTCTGGGGACAATTTAAAAAGATTCATGATGATGATAACACTGATGCAGATGATAAATTTCAGTATCTTTTACAAGCAACTGAAGAAGGTTCATTGGCCTAGAGATTTAGTTGCAAGGTTTTTCCGCCATTTGGCGAAAACTATTATAATGCTATTGAACAGCTGAAATCTCGTTTTGCTAAAGATTAACTATTAATTCAAATTTATGTTTGTGAACTTTTAAATCTAGTTTTAATGCAAGCGAGAAGTGGCGAAATTTTTACTTTGCGAATTCTTTATGATAAATTAGAGACTCGGCTGCGAGCATTAGAGACTTTAGGGGTAACGTCTGAAAAATATGAAGCAATGTTATATCCTTTAGTAGAATCAGCTCTGCCAGAAGTTCTTATCAAGGAGTGGCAATGCACACATAACCGTGTAGAAAATAAAGACAAGATGAACATGTTAGGAAATTTATTAGAATTTCTTCGTATGGAAGTCAAAAGTGAAGAGCAGTTACAACTTGCTCAGTCAGGGTTTGCGAATGATCAATTTGAAAAATTGAAAACGAAAGAAAAAATTCCCACTGCAGCTTGTATTGTATCTAATGAAAAGGAAAGAGTTGAAAAAAATGGCAAACACTGTTTATTTTGTAATAAGTCATTTCATAATACCTCAAAATGTTTTAAGGCTGCCGAGATGTCATCGGAGGCGAAAAGGGAAACATTGAAGGAAAGGGGAGCTTGTTTCGTCTCTATAAAACCAGGACACAATTCTAAGATCTGCAAAGCTTATTTAAAGTGAATATGCAAGAAAAAACACCACAGCATTATGTGTTCAAATACAAATCAATCAAAACAAGACAAACAATCTGAATCGGATGCACAGGTTCTTTTGTCACCAAAAAATTCTCCAACATTATTGTTAACTGTATTGATGAAAATCATTAATGATGACAAGTTCAGAATCGCTTGCAGATTATTTGATACTGGTGCTCAGAGATCTTTCATACGAAAAGATATTGCGGAGAAACTAGGATAGAAACTTGTAGATCAAGAAATGATGAGTAATGGACTTTTGGGAGGCAGTGAAACTAAACAAGAGTCCCATAATGTCTACACTATTACTGTTTATGTTCCTGTGTTAGAATGGTGCTGAAATGGATGACGTAGTTTCGATTTTAAATATCCTTAATAAATTCAACGACTCTCAGTCTATTTAAACCAAACTGAATACATTTAATAATAAAACATTCATACGTAAACATTTAGTAATAATTCATCAATACAGATAAGCTATAAAATAAGAATTACAACCGTTACAGGCCAGCTACGCTTTTAGCGACTGAATTCTACGAACGACAAATCTCAAAAGCGTGTTGCCAACGCAGGGCAACGAAAAGGTGGAAATTAATTCGACAGGCGTAGAAGTGAACAATTACATTACAAAGCTTGCGTTTAAATTTCAAGTATACTATTTCAGTTTTGGACGAAAAGAAGATACGTGGTGCGATTCCACGTGTAGAGGATCCTGATATTCATCCAATTTTGAAAAAGAAAAATATACCCTTAAGTGATACAGGAGAATACAGGAGAAATGGATGACGTAGTTTCGATTTTAAATATCCTTAATAAATTCAACGACTCTCAGTATATTTAAACCAAACTGAATACATTTAATAATAAAACATTCATACGTAAACATTTAGTAATAATTCATCAATACAGATAAGCTATAAAATAAGAATTACAACCGTTACAGGCCAGCTATGCTTTTAGCGACCGAATTCTACGAACGACAAATCTCAAAAGCATGTTGCCAACGCAGGGCAACGAAAAGGTGGAAATTAATTCGATAGGCGTGGAAGTGAACAATTACATTACAAAGCTTGTGTTTAAATTTCAAGTATACTATTTCAGTTTTGGACGAAAAGAAGATACGTGGTGCGATTCCACGTGTAGAGGATCCTGATATTCATCCAATTTTGAAAAAGAAAAATATACCCTTAAGTGATACAGGAGAATATGTGCCTGAAATAGGTTTATTAATAGGAGCAGATTATCTTGGCACATTATTAAATGGGAGAATTGAGCCCATTTATAATAATTTGGTAGCTATTAAAACAAAACTTGGATGGGCACTCAAGAGTTGCTAGAGTGAGAACAGCTGATGGAGAGAAGTTGAGACCATTCCAAAGACTTTATCCGTTAGAAATCTGCAGTTTGGAAAAGTTACCATTCATTGCCCAAGATGCTCGAAGGGATGAAAGTGCCTCTATGCCCTGCAGCTAATGCTTCAGATTCCAGTGAAGATGATGATTAATCATCCAAAATCCCAGATTTTGTTACTAGAGCTGTTTGAGTGTTAAAATTCCCAATAGACTTGATTTATAACTTTTGTTGCAACTTATAGGTATCCTACAAATTGCGAGGTGGGAGGTTGTTTGAGTAATACCAGCTATAACTCAATTATGTTTAAGTTTTATGTTTTAAAAATAAGCTCTATCATTTTGGTAAGAATAACTGCTTCTAAATTTTTGTGAATATCTGCAATTAAAGTGTTTTTTCATATTAAATCCATAGTTATTTTTGAATCCTTTAAAACAAGTTGTGCAACTCTTGCAGGATCTCTGCCAACTTTCAAGGTCAGCAGGATAATTTGCAAGTACCTGTTATTGGAAATAGAATGAGATTTTTGAAAAGGATGGTGAAACTAAATATAAAAAATTCTGGCTTTTAAAAACTTTAAAAGTACTTGTATAAAAAGGTTAGTCGATTCAATCACTGGACACAGTATACTTGTTAAATCCAGACTATAAGGTAACTGAAATTATTAATGTACGAGTCACGTGTTTGAAGCAAAAGCTTGTGAGAACCAAAAAGTCACATTGCAAAAATTGTTGTTGGATGATACCATGCACATATCCTAAGTTATAATCTACTAGCTTACTTTGCTTGTTTAGAACAGTACTTTGAATAAATGTGTGAAGTATCTAGTTATTGCATTCATCATGGCAGAAAAGGCCAAACAAAAAATTTGCATCAATTTTTGCCAAAAGCTTGCTAATACTTACAGACAAACTTGATTGAAAGTTGCATAATGTGTATAGGAAGAAGTGTAGGAACCATACACACTGCTGAGTGATAGAAATGTTTGAAAGAGGGATATGAAAGTTTCAAACTTCTCTGCAGACACGTAAACAGCAAAACTGGAAAAAAAGTCAAAAATATGTGCTCAGCTATGCAGACACATCATCAAATCACAATCTGTGAAATATATAAAGGGCTTAATGTTAATTATAATTTAGCTCCATGCATTTTTACCGCAGATTTTTATGCATGTCTGCAAAGTTTATGCAAAAAGTTCCTTTTGAAGACTAAAAAGAAAACAATGATTCAGGTGCATAAAATTTGCTTGACTGGGCCAAGAATCTTTTTAAATGTTAATAACAACTGAAGATTAAGACACAATAACATGCCGAATAAATACTAATTCAGAAGACAAACAACAAAAATCAGCATTATATTTACAAAATTTTCACAGGACTAGTTTCGATGGTTTTACCGAACCACCATCCTCACCATCCTCATGGTGGTTCGGTAAAACCATCGAAACTAGTCCTGTGAAAATTTTGTAAATATAACGCTGATTTTTGTTGTTTGTCTTCTGAATTAACAACTGAAAAATTGTGGGTTTTGAGTGTGACCCCGAAACTAAGTTTCAGTCTTTCCAATAAAAGACGTCAACTTGTTCCAGACACAAGACAGTACAAATGAACTTGATACAATGCGAAGACAAAGCTGATGGTTTTCTTTGACTACAGGGAATAATGTTAATCATTAATATATTCCACCTCATTAGATATTAATGAAGAAGTACTACTGCGAATCGCCGTGATGTTTTAGGCATGCTGTTCATCAGAAAAGGCTATAATTCCATTACTCGGGTCAATGTCAACTCCACCTTGGCAATACAAAGGCCCATACCACTCAGCTCGTTCAGCAGTTTTCGGAAAAGATGAAATTCCCCAACTTGAAAAGTAACTGTATTCTCTGAATGTGAACCTTGTGAATTTTTCCTTTTTCCAAAAATCAAGTCCCACTTGAAGATGATACTGAAACAATTTAAGAAAAAACAAGAAGACAATACCTTCTGATGTCAGAAAAAGAATTCTAGGCATGCTTCCAGTAGTGGTAACAATTCTGGATAAAGTATGTAACTTTAGAAGGTGACTACTTTGTAGCAGATTCAGTGCCAAATCTACAAATGGTCAACTTCATAAGCAAGTATCTTTCTGTGCACGTGGCTTCTCCTTTGTGTGAGTTTTCATGTGTTTCCTTAATTGATGTTTGTGTAAAAATGATTCATTACATATATCGCACTTATGAGATTTCTCACGAGTATGGATAACCATATGCCTGTTTAAATTTCTTTTCCTAGGAAAACATGCATTGCATATCCCACATACATGAGGTTTCTCACCTGTGTGTGTGCGAATGTGTTGTCTTAAATTCGATTTTAGGGCAAATGCCTTGTTACATACCTCACATATCTGAGACTTCTCCCCTGTGTGCAATAGAATGTGCATCTTCAAATCATTTTTTGCTGCGAATGACTTGCCACAAATTTCACACGAATGTGGCCTCTCACCTGTGTGCGTAAGAACATGCCTTGTTAAATGACTCTTGCCTGCAAATGATTTATGACATATATCACAAGTGTAAGGTTTTTCACCTGTGTGAGTTAGACGGTGGTACATCAAATCTCTGCGCTTGACAAATGCCTTGTTGCATATTTCACACTTGAATGGCTTATCACCTGTGTGAATTCGAACATGCGTTTTTAAATCACTCCTGTTCGAAAACGACTTGTTGCAGACATAACATGCATGAGGTTTTTCACCTGTATGTATGCGAATGTGCTTCACTAAATTATTCTTCGCCGAAAATGATTTGTTGCATGTCTCACAAATGAAAGGTTTCTCATCTGCATGGCTCTGTTTGTGTGCTATAAAGTGATACTTATCTCGATACACCTTCGGACAAAAACTACACACATATGGTTTGATATCTGTGTGCGTACGCATATGTATATCTAAATACTGCTTTGCACTACATGCTTTTAGGCATATATCACACGTATAAGGCTTTTTTTCTGTATTAACCCACATTTCATTGTTTACATTGCTTCTGCCTTGAATCAGTTTGCTACATGTATCACATATGCCAGGCTTTTCAGTTGAATGTGCGTCAAAACATTTCTGACATATATTGCATGTATAGCGCTTCTTTTCATCACTACTTGAACTTTCTTCACTTGGAGCAGACATGTTACAAGTAGAAGCTATATCAGGCTTTTGAATTATGCATGTATCAACACATTACATTAAACTTCTCTTTTAATACAAATGTGTTGCTACATGTTTTGAACTGATAAGAACTTAATTCATGTCAAGAGGAATGCAAGTCTTATTTTCAATTATCTTAATGCTCGAATCACATACACAGTTTTTATTCTGTACAACTATTATTTCCATTCACAAACTTAAAAATTAATTATTGTTCTTTAACACCCGTGTTAACACTGTTTTTTTTTTAAATATAATTAAATTATTTTAGCATTTTGAATTTTTCACATCGCATGCATTTTCTACGACACAGCTGTACTTCTTGCACATGATCTCCTAAGTCAAATATTCTAACAGCATTCTCCCACTCGGACATGTGCGCTATTTTGCTCTATTCAATGTAAGGAATTCTACATTACTTCCCGTTCGGAATTAGATTGGTATGCATAAAAGTTTATAATATTTGTATCGTTTCTAATTCAGTCTTGTCATTTCAGTTCTCATTTAAACATCGAGCCTGAAACGGTAAAAAATGTTTCTGCAGTCTTTCAACAAGCCCACTTAAGTTAAATTAAAGTTCAAGATTTTATTTTAATGACTTGCACAAAAAAAGAAGGCTTCACTTTTTCTCATATCGGTGTGTTTACAACAGCAGGAAACTATATCTGAAACTCTGCTGAAAAAAGAGAAGCTTTCCTTCATTAAGAATTTAATTAGTTCTGAAAATAAGCACTTAAACAGAAATTGTTTTCTGCATTCAAAAAAGTATCGAAACCGAAGACAAAAGATAACAAGATAAGATATCATATAATGAAACTCCCCCACATTCAACTAATTTTATTTCTCAGATTATTTCTTAATGTTGCCATTATAGAATTGCACCACGGAACCTAATCTGTAAAGTATATTCTACTATATATCCTTAAAATATATTGGGTGCGATTAAAATTAAGTATTATGAATCTGACTGTTTCTTATTTCTTTTTTGTTTTAAAAAAGTAATGTTTTTTCCTCTAATTAAGTATCTGTTGTTAATCATAAGAAAAATTTCGTTGAAATTGGTTCAAAGAAGCACTAGGTACCAGTACAAGTTACAAATAATTATAAGAAGGATGTCAGTTCTAAATACGAGATACTGAGTAAAGTAGATAAATTTTTCATGATGCTCAATATCCTGTGAACCTGAAAGCTTTCAAAAGTTTGATTAGTAAGTTATTGAACTCTTCATAGATAAGACTTTCTTAGAACTGACAACAGAAATTTGATTTGTATAAAAAGTGTTTTATGAACTGAAACATATGATGTTTTATGAACAGCTTGATCAATAAACTGTAGTTTGAAGCTGTATCATTCATAAAATTATATTTTTTATTTTTGCCCACAATATATTTATGTGGCTTATTTTGCAGTTTGTGTATGGCAACATAAAAAATCTTAAAGGTAAATATTGTTAACAAATTAGCGCAAGAATTACATTTAAAGAAATATCAATCTCGATGTCTCTGTGGTTATATTTCAAAAAATGTGAATGAGGGAAAAAAATTCTGTTGAAAATATATTTTTCGAATAGGAAATTGTGAGGCGCCATTTTTTAAATGTGTTTATGGCGTACCAAACTTGCTGTCCTGGAAAAAGTAAATTGCTGATGTTACGTCTGCTGGGAAGGATATCAATGGAGAATTTCTACCTCCTCAGAGAATAAAGCTTACATGTAATATATATATATATACATTTTGTTTTCATTCAGTGTATTTGAAAGTAAACATGTATCACCAAGAATTACATAATTTATGAGTTAAATTATATGAGGATCGGAGTAATTAACATCTTCTAAGCAAGAATGCAAGTTCCCTCGGTGCTACCGGTATTTCTTGTTAAAGAGAAATTTAATGTATGTGGTGACGTACAAATGATTCAAAAGCAGAATATATCTGTTACGTGTAATATGTCTCTTCCAAGTGCAAGTGATTTAAGTAGCGATGTTCCTAATGCAAATTGTTTAAGCAATAATGTTCCTAGTGCAAAAGATTTTAATAGTGATGTTCCTAGTGAAAATAGTTTAAGTAGTGATGTCAAAGAAATAAAACCTTTTGTATGTGAAATTTGCCATAAATGTATTGCTATATATTCAGTTGAAAAACCTCATATATGTGATACATGTAAAGTTTCAATTCAAAACAAAAAGGATGTAAATAGTGATGTACTAGTTCTTGCAGATATGAAACCTTCTGTATGCGAGATGTGTCATAAATGTCTTGATATATATTCAACTGAAAAACCTCATCGATGTGATGCATGTAAAGTTTCAGCTCAAAGCAAAAAGAATGTAAACAGTGATGTACTAGTTCCTAAAGAAAAAAAATCATTTGTATGTGATGTATGTCAAAAGCAGTGCAGTGGAAAACAGTACCTAAATCAGCATATGCGTACCCACACTGATCTCAAGCCATATATGTGCACCGTGTGCCCCAGGACGTTTCGAGACAAACTTCACTTTATTTCACATACACGTAGCCATACGGGGGAAAAACCTTTTGTTTGTGAAACATGTAACAAAGCATTTTCAGCAAAGAATAATTTAGTAAAGCATATACGCATACACACGGGGGAGAAACCTCATGGATGTAGCACGTGTGACAAATCATTTTCGAATAGGAGTGACTTAAAAATGCATATACGGATTCATACAGGTGAGAAGCCATTTAAGTGTGAAATATGCACCAAGGCATTTGCTAAGCACAATGATTTAGTTTATCACCGTCTCACTCACACAGGAGAGAAATCCCACAAGTGTGATATCTGTGGCAAAGCATTTGCTCTAAAAAGTAATTTAAGAAAACATATCCTTATACATACAGGTGAAAAACCTCATGTATGTGATGTGTGTCGCAGGTCATTTACAGGCAAGAGTGACTTAAATAGACACATTCTCACCCATACAGGAGAGAAACCACATGCATGTGAGGTATGTGGCAGGGCATTTGCTGGAAAAAATGATTTAATGATGCATCTTCTCACACATACAGGTGAGAAATCTCATGTATGTGAGGTATGTGGTAGGGCATTTGCATTAAAGTGCAATTTAAGGAAGCATATTCATATACACACTGGTGAGAAACCTCACCAGTGCAGCATATGCAGCACTACCTTTGCTGCTAAAAATGATTTAAAAAGACATATACTTATCCACAGTGGTGAAAAGCCTTTTATATGTAGTGTATGTAACAAAGCGTTTGCAGGAAAATATCAATTAAAGAAACATATGTGTACACATGAAAGTAAGAAATGTAAACAAGGCAATCAGAAAATGTTATGTAAGGAGCATGGCATAAATATTAATCAAAAACAAGATGGTGAGAAAAACCAACAAGTTATTGATGGGAAGTTAGCCAGAATACAAGCTATTAGTGTGGAACAAGACTATACTTACTCAAATAATGAAGACGGATTAGTTATTAATAAGAAACTTGAAGAAGATGTGGGTAAAAGGCAAGGCATTGTAGGAGAATTTATTTATGGACAAGATATTAGTGCAGAATAAGACCGTATATGTAAACAATATAAGTGTACCTTCCTGAGCTTGATACACTTAATTGAGATTTATGTTTTCTAATCTATAAGCAAAATACTGGTAGAAAAACTGGACAGTGTAGAACAAGCCTATAATGCAAGGACACAAGCAAGATATTGATAGAGAGCAGAATATTGGTATAAAATTGATTGAAGGTAAAGGTATCGTCTATGGGATAAGACACTGGTGTCGAAAAGTGCACGAGTATCTCCCAAAGTGAGAAACACAAGATCTCAAATGGAAAATTGGTAAAGAAACTACAGAATGAGACGTTGGTGTTGAGCAACTTTGCAGAGAAGATAGGTAAAAATTTGCATATTAATGTCCATATGTATAAAGAAACCTATTGCTTATAATATATATGAAATTTTTTATACTTAGAAAATGCAGGTTAGATAACATTTTGCTAAGAAATGCTGTACTTGGTGAATGATAAAAAATTAATGTTTCCTGTGTTATGTAAACTTGAATTTTTTTTAAAACAGCAGTAGAAAATTACAGCACAAAGTCTAAAAACTTTCCAATATCCAGACATCTGGACCACCAGTCTAAAAAAGTACATAATAAATAAAATAATAATAATAATTTAAATACATAATAATAATTTAAATACAATAAAATAAACTATTCCCCTGAGTATAGAAATAGAAAATATAATACTCAATAAAAGGAAGCAGGTGAACCATAAATAAAAATTTTCGGTACTTGCATTTTATCTCGTTGATCGTTGGCAGAAATTCTGGTAATGATTGCCAATTGTTGTTGCACAATTTAAAGAACGTGATCATCCATTTTTGCTGCCCTACTTGGCCATTTCCCTGGATTATACGTAAATGCCAATACTGATGATCTGAAATCTAGAAATTGCCAAAATCCAGAATCTTGTCCATTCCAATTTTGGAATTCGTACTGTATGTGCGTTTTACTATTTTAAGTACTTTGATATCTGTACTCTAGTTTCAACATATGGCATAGGTATGTTTAAATGCACATACATTACTTAACCAACACTGTGTTGAACAGTAAAATAGCTATATAGATTTTTATTACTTTCCTTTAACACTTTTTATTTTTATGTTGCTCCATTTATATTATTATTTACGAATAGAATAAAACTTGTTGAGACAAACATTTTCACCAGTTCAAACCAACTTTCTGAGGAAAGTTTGGATAATCAGAAAGGAGTATATTTTTTAATAAGAATATTTATCCATTTTATGTGTCTTATAAACTGTTGAGAAATAATTTTAAATAGAAACTAGGTTTATAACTTGAATAGAACAATGTGCTTTCTTTCTTTGGAGCAGTATGCTTCCATAGTGCATTATCAGCAGTTCAGAATGTGGCTGTCATTAATATATATGATATTTGTAATGCAGAAAGATATACTGGAAAGACTGGCATATGTTGCTAATAATACTGGAAAGATTGAGAATATGATTGGTTAGTTTTTGAATCTTCAGAGCCTGATTTTATCCCAGCCCAGAAGATCCAGATTTAAATTACTAGATTTTCAGACTATTCTGTAATTTTTCATAGTTTTCTTTAATGAAACTTAGTGGAGTGTTAGTATTGTCTTGGCAAAGTGGCCAATCACCTAAATCAATTTAACTGAATGCTTTGCTCCAATCATAAATAAACCTCACACACTTCAAGAAACTCAATTTTGATAATTTACCATATGCCATTCTGGATACTTCTTTCAGTGCCACAAATTGAAAGGTTGCAGTGCCACTGAATTTCGTCTCTGAAATACAATTTCATTTCATGATTATTATCACAAGAAGCAATTTTAAGCAAAACACCTTGAAGGAATTTGGCACATCCTTCGTCTGTTCTGGGCAAATTCCAAATTTTCATTGGTTTTACATCCATTTTTAACGTATTAGGGAAAAGACATGATTGATAAAAAATGGCCGCGACTTGAAAATGTGGCGGTAAAAGGTTAAAATTACAGCACAAAGTCTAAAAACTTTCCAATATCCAGACATCTGGACCACCAGTCTAAAAAAGTACATAATAAATAAAATAATAATAATAATTTAAATACATAATAATAATTTAAATACAATAAAATAAACTATTCCCCTGAGTATAGAAATAGAGAAATATAATACTCAATAAAAGGAAGCAGGTGAACCATAAATAAAAATTTTCGGTACTTGCATTTTATCTCGTTGATCGTTGGCAGAAATTCTGGTAATGATTGCCAATTGTTGTTGCACAATTTAAAGAACGTGATCATCCATTTTTGCTGCCCTACTTGGCCATTTCCCTGGATTATACGTAAATGCCAATACTGATGATCTGAAATCTAGAAATTGCCAAAATCCAGAATCTTGTCCATTCCAATTTTGGAATTCGTACTGTATGTGCGTTTTACTATTTTAAGTACTTTGATATCTGTACTCTAGTTTCAACATATGGCATAGGTATGTTTAAATGCACATACATTACTTAACCAACACTGTGTTGAACAGTAAAATAGCTATATAGATTTTTATTACTTTCCTTTAACACTTTTTATTTTTATGTTGCTCCATTTATATTATTATTTACGAATAGAATAAAACTTGTTGAGACAAACATTTTCACCAGTTCAAACCAACTTTCTGAGGAAAGTTTGGATAATCAGAAAGGAGTATATTTTTAAATAAGAATATTTATCCATTTTATGTGTCTTATAAACTGTTGAGAAATAATTTTAAATAGAAACTAGGTTTATAACTTGAATAGAACAATGTGCTTTCCTTCTTTGGAGCAGTATGCTTCCATAGTGCATTATCAGCAGTTCAGAATGTGGCTGTCATTAATATATATGATATTTGTAATGCAGAAAGATATACTGGAAAGACTGGCATATGTTGCTAATAATACTGGAAAGATTGAGAATATGATTGGTTAGTTTTTGAATCTTCAGAGCCTGATTTTATCCCAGCCCAGAAGATCCAGATTTAAATTACTAGATTTTCAGACTATTCTGTAATTTTTCATAGTTTTCTTTAATGAAACTTAGTGGAGTGTTAGTATTGTCTTGGCAAAGTGGCCAATCACCTAAATCAAGGCAAACTTATACTAAAGGCCTGTCAGACAAGACGAAACTCTTCCCAGTTTCCAGTGGGTTTCGTGAAATTCATCACTAAGTGGCGCTCGCATACCGCTATACTTTGGCTGTACGTTCAACGTTTGTAACATAGCTCATTAATAACAAAAGGTGTATTTTATTAAAAGTAAGCAAATGTTCAGGGTTTGCACGCTGTTAAGCCGTGCCCCATTTTGTAAGAACTCTACGCCAGTAAATCAGAAAGATCATGTTTATGTGATTAACAAATCAAATGGCAGCACTAAACTTAGTTGTTATTTTTATCATTTCTTTTTCTCACCAATTTATCAAATGTTTGAATTTAAAAGTAGTGTTTTAGAAAAGTGGCAGATTGCGTACCACATTATTACCAAAATTTTATGGTCTGTTAACTCTGTTTCTAAGTAAGTGGCATTATGTTATGTGTTTTTTACAGATGGACTGAACAGCTTTATAAATATTTGTATTAACCACAAATCCTGAGAATTGAAATGGAACAGTGGCTTTGGTACTTTTCCATTTTGCCCAAGCAGATTTTAAGCAGCAGCAACACACAGTATACACATAAAAAAAATTTAACAACTGTTAGTGCTAAAATTTTTTTACTTTAGAAGCATAAACATTTTAATATTGTTTAAAACTTCTTCAAATGGGTCTTTCATTTCCTTTCTCCACATCAATTCCATGAGATAATTTTTCAGATGATGATGTGCTGTTCCTCTGTGTTCCTTATTTTGCCATTTGGCATAACCCATAGTCTTTTTTATTTTTTTTGTGTGTATTCCAGTTTCCGGATCGAAAACTTGTATTTATAGTTCACTTTGAAATATTCGAAACCTTCCTCATGCAGTTTTTCAGTGCCGTATCGTTTCTATGAATCTGAATATATTTTAGTTCCTTTTTCGATATTTTCCTTAACTGCTTGTAATGTAATGCTCATAGATCAATTTAGCAGCTTCACGAGGAAGCATTCCTTTGTTTCACAGCAAGCTCCACCAAAGATTCATTGTCGTCATAGAATCCATCTCGTATTGTTTTTGTGCTTCATCCACTTTGGTCCTCCTATTTTCATCATACCAGGTCCTCTTATTTTCTGTCAATGTTTAAGCAAAGAATCCACACAAAGTGTGTAATTATTCCAGTCCACAACTATTCCGTGACCGATTTCCAGCTGACCGATTTTCACACCATTTAACTGAATGCTTTGCTCCAATCATAAATAAACCTCACACACTTCAAGAAACTCAATTTTGATAATTTACCATATGCCATTCCGGATACTTCTTTCAGTGCCACAAATTGAAAGGTTGCAGTGCCACTGAATTTCGTCTCTGAAATACAATTTCATTTCATGATTATTATCACAAGAAGCAATTTTAAGCAAAACACCTTGAAGGAATTTGGCACATCCTTCCTCTGTTCTGGGCAAATTCCAAATTTTCATTGATTTTACATCCATTTTTAACGTATTAGGGAAAAGACATGATTGATAAAAAATGGCCGCGACTTGAAAATGTGGCGGTAAAAGGTTACCAGCTGGGATATACCATTTGGCATCAGTTGTATCATTTGTGGCTTTACCGCTTGCAGCGGCGAAATAAAAATGTATTGTGGCTTTTATTTTTTAGTATCAAATTACCATATATCCGGCATACAATGTGCAGTTTTACTATAAAAAGTAAGATCAAAATTTACATTTGCATACCAGATATAAAAATGGTTGAACATAAAAAAATTAGATTTCTACATGTACCTAAATGATGCTTATTTAAAAGAAATGACATACTTTTATGAACTTAAAATTTCATTATTCGATAACATCAAAAGTTCATTATATTCATCTTCTGTTATATCATCAAACTCTGTTGCATATTCACCAAAACTGTTCCTCTGATCCATAAATAAATAATCATCTTTCATTCCATCTAGGTTGTTAGATATATTCCATTTTTCAAATTAATTTTGAATTATGCTGGGTTTAATTTCATTTCATGCTTTTATTATCCACTTGCATACTATTTTTAGACTGGCATGATGTATTTGGCTTACTTTTGTGTTTTTTCAGCCTCTTAACATCCATGTAATCTGCTGTGTTTTAAATTTCCTTCGAACGGGTTGTTAATACACACATCCAAAGACTGAACTAATGGCATTAATCCACCTGGAATAACTACCATCTCTATGTTAAATTCTTATACCAATTTCTTCATATTATGTGTTAAGTGAACGTGTCCCAAACTAAAAGACTATCCACAATTTTACACCAGTTTCATCCATCCATCCTTTCTTGTGAACAGGAATGAAAACATTGTTTGGGAAATTACATTTTGGCATCGTCTTTCTGTTAAAAATAACTATGTGGGTTTTAATTTTGTACTGTCCACTAAGCAGGAAAGAACTGTGATGAAATGAGACTTTTCGTGACCTTTTTGTTTCTATGTTAACTATTTTCCTTTCACATTAATTGTGTTATTTCCTATCAGTGGAACCTTAGTAAAGTTCCACCATATTTCCAACCTGTGGTAATATTTTATTTATTTATTTGCTTTCATAGGTCAATAATATACTTCAATCATTGTCCAGACATGTTCGATAGGTAGTAGATTTGGAAAATTGGCAGGACAGGATAAGAATGCAATATGGTGGGCTAAGAAGAAAGCTTGAACATTGTGTGCAACATGTGGTTACACATTGCCCTGTTGAAATGTGGCTGCAGGCAAGCTCTGAAGGTAAGGAAGGAAAACGTGCTGTGAAACATCAGAGATATAGCGTTGGGTGGTAAGTCTACCAATAATGCGTAGTAGGGAGGGTGCGAGACTGTCTCACACCATAACACTGTATGCAGGACCAGTATGATGATGCATAACATAATAGTCGAGCATTCTCTCTACACGGTATCTCCAAACTGTAATCCAACCAGGCAGAAGCATGATTCGTCTGAAAACGTAATGCCATTTGGATGTTCATCTTTGCCATTCAGTGCACCACTACAAACACAAATGCCTGTGGTTCAAAGGTACACAAAGGAATGGATGGCTAGCAGACAGTCCATTATACTGTAAATGACATTGAATTGTTTGTGCAGACACCAACTGTTTTGTCACGCACTGCATTCATTGTGAATGGTTGTGGATGTGGCAGTGCACTCCATCAGAACCATGCATACAATATGCCTGTCTTCACATGGAGTGGTGTGATGAGGCAATTGCTCCTGTCTATCACTTGTTCTCTCCTGCATCCATCGATTCCATTTTCAAATGATTGTTACTTGGTTAATCTGACACGATGACCGATTTCCCAGAAAGATGATTTTGCAGTCTGTGTGTGGTCAAACTCGCAAATGTGTTCAAATGATGCTCATGTTTTCACTGAGATATACTAAAGCTGTTCACACAAAAAATCTTGCAAGAAAACAATTCATGTTTTTCAAAATAGCAATCTTTCTTCTTTTTATGTATGAATTGTAAGGACCGCTGCAGTCCCCATGATGTATGCACATGCTGAAATCATAATCCTTTGCATATTCCATCTCGGTATACAAATGATGCAAGTTTGATGCTGTTTGGGTACTTCCTTCATGGTGTTGCATTTTTGATGGCCAGCAGTTTATACTATAATAAATAACCCTAATAATTAAACAGTTTGTATTTTCTGACTATCCTGACCTCATAATTTAAAAATATTTGGTAACATTCCATTTCTGGAAAATATTTTTTAATAGACATGTAAAGACATATTATGTTTAAGCAAAAAATATCACAGGCTGTAAACATTTAAATGTTACATATGTAGTTTTTTCCCTTCTAAAATTTCTTGTTGTCATTAAATATTTCTTTCTTATTATTATAGTTTATGAACAAATTAGTTCTGTGAGCTGTAAAGTAGTCAAACAAATGTTTTTCATCTATTCACAAAGTTATCATTGAGTTGACAACTTTTCATGGGGGCGTTCATAATCATTAAGTGTCAGTATTTTTTCAATCCACTGTAATTCTAAGCTATTCAGTTTTATTTTGAAACACCAAAGTTATTATGTATGACATAAAGAGATATAAATTTCTTTTTACCATTTGATGAATTTTTTCCTAGTTTGGTATTTTTTTAACACTACTTGATGCGGTAAAGTTGCCAAATTTTGGGAATATGGCAAACACTGGCAACTATGCACCATTTTTCAGTTTTAATAAGCAACACTGTTATTTTGTATGTGTTCTTTTTATTGTTTTACAATTCTAAATTTATTCTGTTTGTTGGTTTTTATTGACAAGTCCTAATATTTTTTTTCTCTATGCAGTTAAAGAATGTGCCTTTAGAATTATTATAGAATAATAGAAATTGTGATAAAATTTTTTCAGAAATACAGTTTTTGCTACAAAATTATCAAAGGGAGCAACTGCTTTAAATCTGACCTTTTTAAAGCAAGCATCATGAAATATCGATCTGTAGAAAAGAAATAAAAACCTGCCTGTAAGTAGCTTTATTGAGTGATTTTAGGGAATTATATTTAATTAAAATTTAATTGAATTATAAATGATAACTGTTTTTCTTCTGCAAAACATCACCTAATTGTGTCAAGCTTGTTGCGTTAAATGCCCCTGCTGTTTTTAATAGTTTGAATGTATGTATTATATCATTATTTCTTTCATTTTTTTTACTGTCATAAGCTTTTTATGATGTTCTTTGCTATTGTATTTTGTATTAAACCCATAAAATTATTTAATTACTCATACTTTGTCAAATAATGATATTATTATGTTTGATCAGGAAAAATGTTCCAGTTGATTATGGAAATTAAAATTTGAATATCAGTGGGAACCCAAAAACAACATGTAATTACTTATTTTGATTACTCACAATGTTTAATAACTTTTAGTAGTTTCACAGTATGAGTAATTAACTAATTTTTTTACTAGGCATTGTATTTTATATTAAACATGTAAAATTATTTAATTACTCATAATTTCAAATGAGTTTATTATGTTTAGACTGGGAAAATCGGAAATACAGCATAGAGTCTGAAATCTGGACATCCGATATCCAAAATGATCTAATTTCTGGACCACTAACAATTTTTGGTATTTATGTATTATCACAACCAGCTTAACAGAAGTTGCCATATTTTCAGAATATGGCAGACTCTGGCAACCATGCACATAACAGTTCTTCAGGCTATCATTCTTATAACAATCCTTCAGTCAAGAAACGTCATTTTTTTTTTTTTTTTTTTTTTTTTTTTGTTGTAGTTCAAGTTTCAGTGGCTGGTCTAGAAAAAGTATGACTATTTTTCCCCTAAATTTGATATTAAAATTTGTGCCTGTAGGATTTTCCTATAATAGAAGAAACGGAGTTGAAATTTCTGTAGGAATGCAGTAGTTTGTCACAAAGTTGCTAAAGGCACAATGCTTTGAATCATTACTCAAAATGATCAGTACTTTCCCCGCAACAAAAACATAATGATTCTTCAGACAAACAGACAACCATGCCCATAATAATCCTTCACTCAAGCAACATTCCCTTTTTTGCATGCATTCTTTTTGTTGTATTCTAGCAATTCTTATAAACAAACAATTACACTTTTTGCCTTAAACTTAATAATGTGCACAATTTTAAAATTTGAAGGTTATATTGCTGATTTCTGTTTGTTGGGAATAGTGGAGATTACCCCCTTTCTAATGAATCATAAGCCCCTGTGGAGTTTGCCTGCAAATAAAAAAGAAAGTGTTACATTTTTTTCAGAAATATGTCATTTTGCTTGCTAAGAGTGTAGGAATGCACATTCCATGAAGTTAATTTGTGCAATTCTTTAACCTTTTTTTCTTAATTCTGCAATTCTCTGATGTTTTTCCTAAGTCAAAACAGATTGCTGTGCATATAAACAGAAGACCAAAAAATAGAAAGTTAAGTGTTATATTATGGGTGTTGTTGCAATTTTAATTCAGATAATTTGGTACTGTGTTATGGAATTTTGAGTGTATTGTTATGGATGTTTCCTTAATATAATTTTTACTGTTTTGTTATGTGTTTCTTGCATTTTTAATTTTATTACTTCATTACTGTTTTATGTAATTTTAAGCATGGCACCATTTTTTAAAATGGCTATGTTTCTCACGTTCATACAAAAAATTAGTCGCCAGTGATTGGTGAATTTGTTGGACTATGAAGCAGATAATACATTAGTACCTAAAGAATTTTATGGATATTTTTGAATGAAACATTTATATATTTTTTCATATATTTACCCAGAAGTTTTGCAAATTTTAACTGAAGAGTTATTAATTCTTAAAATTGTGGTGGAATATTTACATTCTGACAAGAATACAGTCAAAAGTATGGTTTTTCCGCATTATAAATCATCAGTTTAAATCTGGTAAGATGGCATGCAGAAATTATAAAATTAAAAATATGAAACCGTAATTTATGAAATAAAGAGCAATTATGATCTAAAGGATATCAAAATTTACAAAGAAAAAAGCTTAATATTTATTTGTTTACTTTATTAAGCATTTCTTTCAACGCACGCATGCATAAAGCATACATTACGCATAGTCAAAATTAGAAAATTGCAACCAGGAAAACTATTTGATGTGTATTCATGATATTTATAATGACGAGGAAATTGATTTAAATTATATCGGAGTACATCAAGATGAAACACTACATTTAATGAGGAATTATAAGCCAAATAAAATAAAAACATCTGCTCTGAAGATGAGGATAGTGCTGACAGATCAACTTCCAGTTCATTGTGCGTTGCGGCGTTTCGCCCCCTTCCGCAGAGCAGCGTGAAATTGATAAACAGATTTTGGAATAGTTAGAGAAACAAATAACCTCTCTGTCACTTTCTTCATGCCTTTATCCATTTTTTGCAGCAGTCAGCAGTTCCACTTTTTGATTAATAGACATCGAAACATGCTTTTGCTTTGCAGATCCTTTGGCAGCCCCAGCGCCGAAAATTCTATTTGACATAATCGAAAGTTCAAGCTTACTTTTATAAAAATTGCTCTAACAGCCTGCAAAAAATAATAAGGCAGATCCAATTCAAAGATTATGGAACAACGCAGTCTGCAACATTAATTGAAATAGATAATTAGATAATTTTAGCTTAGCTTATACCATCCGTTATGCATTAAACGCGCATGCGTAAACGTATTATGCGTGCATGCATATGCACATGCGTGAACGCATTAATGCACTCACGAATGCATAGAAAGTTTGTAGCTTTGAGGTCCGGATTAACGACTTTGGACTGTATGTGGTACTTTTCCGTTTCGCCGACACAAATCTCGCCAAGCAGACTTTATTGGCTACAACACACAGTATATACATAAAATTTATTAACAAATGTTAGTTCCAAGAATTTTTATTTTGAAGGCATAAACATTTATCATAATATCATTTAAAATTTTGTAAAAGGACAATAAATAAAGACAATGAATTTGTAAAAAGACATTAATTTAAGAATTTACTATCCTCTCATGGTACAACATCCTGATTCACCAGATCATATCATGCGACCCCAAGTGATCTCATCTCACATAAACTACACTACAAAAATCTAATTCTTTCATTAATTATCTATATTAATTTCAAGTTAAATCTTATGGAATACATGTTTAAATTGAAGAATTATTTCAGTTCGTACAAATAGCGTACTCAGAAATTTACTTCGCTAGTGTATTCTCATTAGAATTGATGAATTTAACCTTTGATTTTGCCTTTTCTATATTTTTGCCTTCAGGTTAGCGATGTGATTGCATCCTAATTGACTTAATTACCACGAATAGCCTTAGGGCATAAAATTGAACTATCTGGTAAAAATTCTACTTAATTGTATAACAGTATTGAAAGAAACAATCAATCTTATAAGGAATGGCTGTGACTTGTTTTGAAAAGGAAGCATAGAAGGTTACCTCAAGGATATTCTGTTTGGCATCGGTTGTACAATTTTTGGCGACTTTATCGCCTGCGCCGGCAAAATGAAAAAGTACCAAATATTTGTATTTTAACATTTGCATGCAGTACCCATGCACACTCATTGCAGTGCAAATATAAAACCTTGAACCTTTCACAGAGCGACTCACTTTCTTTTGTACTTCATTGTTCCTGCTTGTTCATGGTTGACATTTGACGTTGGCTTATCATCATGTATTTAGTTTTGTATTTTACTTTTTAATTTTAAATGAACTTAATTTTATAGTTTATTAAAGTTTTTGGCCTTCTTTTAAATGAACCTTATGACTAGTTTGGAGTATTGTGGCATAAACCATCGCCACAAAATCATCTATATTTCAGTTATTAAAGATGCAAAAAAATTTATCTTCATGCCCACCTTTCTCTATTCTAAACAAGGGCTATTGAAGGCAAGTGTAATATCCAATTCTTCCAAAATCTGGAACACATAATAAGAGCATCTTATGATATGGGTAGGCAAAAGCCAGCCCATGGACTGAATGCAACCATTTTAATTGCTTAATCTGGCCCATTATGAAATCCTGTGTAATCTTTTCTTTCCTACCCAATTTTATATGCAAGCAACTGACTTTCTGTATTGTGTCAAAAAATATTTATTTTTATTTCGATCAATGTATTTAAAAGAATGCTTTTGTTAGTGAAGTGCATAAAAAATAAATATCAATCACAAACTGATGGAAATTTACATTTTGCATTTAGGATATCTGCAGTTGAGCTGTAGATTAATTTGTGAAATACTCAGAGATGAACATTAAATATTTCTCTTCTCACATTAAATATGTCACCAGGAATGTATGAAATGCCAGCATTCTATAGAATACCTAGGCATTTTTAGTAAAGTATGGAATGCAAGAATTATTATACACTTAGTACCTAGGCATTCTATCGAATCGTTACAAAATGTCTAACTACAGTAAGATAGCTTTGCAAGGCAGGTTTTGAGTTTCCAGAAATTGGCAAGAAAACGCCCATTTGGCGACAAAATTGGCGATATGCCATAGACGGATGAAGAACCTTCTAGAACAAATTCTTACTAGTTTAGCCCAGAATGTCCTCAAACACAAGCCAAAAGCTATATAAACCCTGCTGGTATGCAGAGAGTCAGTGTCTCATCTAGCAAGTTGATAGTCAGTCAGTGCAGTGCCGAATCGAGTCAGCTAAGAGTCGGTGAGCAAGTATTCTGTAGTCTAGTGCCGAGTTGGTCTTCAAGTGCATTGAGAGAATCTGTTAGCGTATAATGAGTTAGTGCGTCGTCGAGTTTCGTCTCTGAGTGTGTTGAGCTCCGAGAACGACCGAACTGAGTCAGGAGCTGTACTCTAGTGCAGTGGTCACCAACCGGTGGTCTGTGAAAACTTTTTGATGGTCCATCAAAAAATTGCAACATTATTTAAATTTCTATGAAGATTCAGTTTAAAAAATGATGAGTAAGAAAACTTATTATGAAATATGCATTAGACTTTTTTTTTTAAATTTTAGTTACTACTTTTAGCAAAATT